AATTACCTGGAATTCCACATGGCAAATAAATTAGGTGGGGGAAAAATCGTAGCCTTTAGGGATTGATTCAGAAACAGAAGCAGAGGCAAAATTTATCAACCCGTTTGTAATAAATATTAGTCCTGTGTATTAAACTTGAAGCCTACCCTGCCTATGGACCTTGGAGGAGAGACGAGACATGATTTTGGTCAGCTCAAAAACAGTCCCAAGAAAAGTGGCCTTTGGTCATTTGTAGCACTTTTGAAGATGCTGTATGTCCTTTGCACTTCTGGGTATGTGCAGAGAAGGAGGATCTGAAAGTGAAACATATTTCATAGAAATCAAAGGCAAAATGTGTGACAGCGAAGCTGAGAGGCTTGACTCTGGTTTAAATGTAATTGCTAGCTAAGAGGATGCAGCAAGGGTGAATTATTCCCTTGACCTGTCTCAACAACACTCTGGTTGGATTAGCATCTCATCACTTATTACTTCATGTTTCTACCCTAGCTTTAACTAGCTCAGGTAGGCACTTCAGAGAGAAGTAAGAATCATTGTAAGGGTCTTCACCTCTTGCCTCCCATGAAGACTTCCTCTTTAACTTTTAATAATTTTCAAAGCAAAAAGAAGCTAATACATGTTATATGGTAACAGAAAATACTATAATCCCCAAATGATTTGGTAATCAAAAAACTCAGGAGAGAAGAGGTGGAAAAAATGAAATGCAGTGACCTTCAAATATGTGACAAAATTCAAACTGTGTGCATTTGCTGTTGGGAAAATGATATAAACTAATGCAATTATCGGTTGGTTTCCATTATACCTCCAATGACACTTTCTTGCCTACTGGTGAAGCCACATTTCAGCACTCAGCATGGACTCAAAGCAGCCTGCTAGATGCTGCCTCTCCCTGCGGACAGCCTTGCCAAATCCTGTGTTCTGGGTCCGTTTTTCCAGTGATTGACTACCTGCGGCAGACTTGTGCCTCTATCAGGGGCAAAGTAGCCTATGTGTTTAATGCCTGAATTTCATTCCCTCCCTACCCTAAGGATGCATATTTTCCTTTCAAGCTACATACCAACATACAGCTTTCTGCTTGTTGGAATTTGTCAGTGGTGGCTCCATGACTTGCTATGAAAAAGTTGACTCATTGTGGCTGAGGGCTGGTCCAGTATTTACTACTTGTTTACTTTCAGGGTTATCCCACAGGTAGCAGACAGAGCACAAACAAACTGAGCTCCTGCAGAGCTGCTGCGCAAAATAGAACCTGAATTATAGACTCGGAAACCTGAGAAGCCCCAACGGGGCTACATGCGCTAAATAAATATGGACAGGCCTTTCTGTCCCTGTCTCCCTGTTACTGGAATTGCCGCAGTAAGCGGGACACTGAGTGCCACGTGTTTCCCTTGTGACCTGCTAATGAGGATTGTCCCCGTTTCGAACCTTTCCCCTTCAGATCCCTCCCAAACACCACTTCCAGATGCCAATTCAAAAAATTCCACTTAATTGTTTGTAGTAACAGAGTTTAATTACTAGATTATCTTTTTAAGCAGCTGTCCACACAAATAGCTTTGTTGTAAATGTAGCTAAAAATGGCAGCTGTGTTTGTTTTCTCTCTCCATTTTGACCAGCTGGTTATGGACAGCACTCTAGGATGGTCCCTCTCTTTCTTGGGTGGCCAGAGAGATTTTCTATCACAAACAAAAGCAAGTCAAACAGAACACACAACGTGATGAGAATCAATGTATCTATTGGACAGCATGTGATCTGAGTGAGAAGTAGAATCCGTTTTACACCTTGCACACGCCTAATCCAAATGCGAAATGCCGGAACAGAAAGGGGGCTGCTAAATGAGAATCTGAACATTGCTGCCTGGAGGAATCCATGGCTACGTGTTTTCTGCAGAAGGAGACCAAGGAAATCAGTCCTTCGCCTGCTTAAATGTCTAGGTTAGCCAGGCTGGGCATCACAAAACTTCCCTACAAGGGTCAGACTTCTAAATGTAGTCAACCTTTAAACTCCTACTGGAGAGGCGCAAATAACATTGTGCCATGTGTATACAAATGAGCCATGAGCAGAGGAATGCTCCAGTGGCCAGCTCCCTTCCAGACAGCCAACACCTTGTCGTTCTGAAGGGATTAGACTATAAGACAAAATATAATCATGATTCTAATGGTCTTTTTTTTCCCTCTCACTTGACAGTAAATTATTTGAATCTGATCCAAGGCCTGTAGTCAGCTCTGGGACACCCTATTGCCATCCCCACTTAGCAATATATTCAATTAACTGAAGTATTTCTGAGAGCTCTTCAGGCCTGTGAGTTTGAGCAAGAATGTAAATACATGTGCAAATATGGGACTGTGGTTCCTGAAATATGGCTGCTTATGGTTTCTTAATCTGATCAGAGATATAACTAGTAAAACCACAGTTTCAAACCCTCATACTCCGTCATGCCCTAGAAAACCAGTTAAGGGAGCTCCTTTAGGATAACATCACCACCCCACCCCCCCACTCCCCCCCCACTACTCTTGAGTGGTGTAGGAGAAGCACAGCAGTTTAATGTCACCTCTTGCCCCTTTCCTGTGCAAGGGATGTAACTGGTGCACTCCTGTACTCTCTCATCCCAGTTGCAGGAGTTGCCTGTGGGTAGTCAAGTGGAACTATTGCCATCTTGATGGTTTTCTGATTTATAACTGAGGAGTGGCTTAGATCTAGGTGGCGCTTGGCAAATGGTCGATTTAAGCCAACTTCTGCCTATATTTGAGCTGCCTAACAGAAGCTCTCATGTCTCTGTGAGCCTTTGAGGTCCTAGTCTATAGCTAAAATTTTGCAAGTAGTTGCAAGTTCTGTTGGGAAAATATGACTACACTGTATTATTTCTACTCTGTTTTCGTTAGTGAGCTCCCTTGGCAGATATTAACAGAATACCCTACCAATCCTTAGATCTGCGGGATAGGCTGCATTTCATAATACACACAGCTGGGAAAACAGAGCCAGGGAGGCTAAGTGATTTACTTAAACAGTAAATGGAGAAAGACTGACTTACAAATGTTCCCCAAATCCAATATCCTGCTCATGCCTTTGAACCCAGAATTTCCAAACTGCATTCAGTAAAGCACACTTTCTCCACAAGTGATCAGTGGTGTCGTATCAAAGAAAAAAAAATCCTTTCCCAGTGTTATAGAAATAACTTTAGTTTTGACATCCTATTTTGTATCCCCTTTCCACTGTTTTGCATTAAAATGCTGATTTTAAAGGCATATAGTTGTTCTTGAAGTTGCTGGTGGTCCATGGTCTGGAAAGTTAATAACCTGCAGCTCTAGGCTACATCCTCCTCTGAGCTTTGAATCCTGAGCTCTACTGGAATGTTTGGAGCTCATCTGTCACCAAACTGATTCATTGATAATGATGGGTCATCTTGCTATTGATTATGCTAAGTGTCTGACACACTACTGATGTGGGTCCAGCTGAGAGCTGGGGACCTGTGCTTGGCTGCTGCTTTCTAGCATCTGCTCTAAAAGGGCTAGTTCATGGGCTATAACCAGGCCATCTGAATTACATAAACATACTTTTCCTTCATCACTTTGTAATTTAAATAAGAGAGTGGACATGATCTTAAAGCACAGTGCAGCTTTATTTAGCTTACATTCCTGATCTCTTATTCCTGAGTTTACCCAAAAAAAGACAGGTTAGCTGTCATCAAATGATCCATTGTAGCTTCACATTTTAAGCATATTTTAATTATGTTTTCCTCATTCCTCAAATACTCCATGAAGAAAAAACCACCACCAACAAAACCCCACTCCCCCCTAAAAAAAAAAAAAACAACAACCCAAACCCCAAAGACAACAGGGAAGAAGAAAAATTGTCTGTATTTGCCTAAGTTGTCTATATGAATAGAAGTCTGAGCGGGGAACATTTACATCCATCTCCATAAAATGGCATAATTCTTTGCAGCTAACAGTAGTGGTTACTCAATTGCTGCTTGAACAAATGTAAGTCCTTTGTATTTCAAAATAATATTAATTCATGCCATTCAGTTTATCTCATGGTCTTGCTGAAACCAGCTAGTTCACAAGAACTGCATATAAATGAAGCAGGAGCTAACTTAAATGAAGGGCAGCATAGGTTAATATTTTCATTAATATATCAGCTCTTCAAAAGACTCCGAAGTTGAAGAAAATCTTCCTGTGTGGTATTGCTCTATTTTCAGACCTCGTCAAGACTGAAAGCCTGCTCTGTGAGAGGGCTTTCTGTGCAGAAAGAAGCAAAACAGGTTGGTTTGACAGAACAGCTCAGCTGGTTAGCACAGACTGAGAGCAAACACTAGGAGACCAAATTAGGGAGAGACTTTGTTGGTCTCGACACAATGGTAACCCTCATCCTATTTTTAGAATATGTTAACCTCCACACCAAGGAATGTGGGCATAAAATATATCTTACAGGTCACTTGCTTTTTTACTAGGAACAGACAAAACCAACACAATCTGTTAAAACAGGGATCAAGAACATTTTCTACCCAATGCATTGTCCTCTCTTCACTCTATTAATTTAATTTTTAATGAAGAGAGCAATTATGGTAATTGTGGTATCTTGGTATCACATAAAAGCCTCAGGATCCATAAGGGGTGGACTTACTGGTTTAAGTATGAGAGAGAGAAACAGAGACAGAGATAAAGGGGAGAGATAGTGGAAGGTGTGATCCACAACCTAAGGCTGTTTTCACATTGATCTTAGTTCGGTCGATTTGCAATTTATCAATACTGTATTTTAGTGGCGATGGCACTTGAGTATTCTACCGTTTGTCTCTTTTTGCATCTGCATTTGCAAAATGTAAGTAATATTGCTGTATACATATAGAAAATATACACAGGCTCGTGTAAGCTGAGTCAGTCACAAAGACTGATCACAGTATTTATTTCATCATGCAAAAATGTGTAGCTTCCCAAACCCTTTTAACAAACGGGTGCCCAGATGAAACCTTGGTGTCTCTTTTCACAGGTAGCAGAAATACTCTGGATTTAAGAGTGCCTGATCATTTTAGCTAAAAATACAGCAATCCAGTTCCAGTTCATTAAATATCAGGAGACTCACGTGCCAAAAATAAATGAGGAGTAACTCACACGATGTTGGAAAACTACATTAGGATAAAGAAATTAGACAGGACTGAAAATTTTTTCTTACCCTGATGTTTTCTAAAGAAGCAGTATTTTAAGTCAACTCCTTTTTTCTCTCTTCTTTTTTTTTTTTTTTTTTTTTGTGTGTGTGTCTTTCTGTTTTTAAGGAACCAAGCTACTTACAGAAGAAAAGCAAACAGTGATTATGGAAGATGAAGAAAAGGATGGAGACACAATCTCCAGTTGAGATCACAGTGACATTTCCAATAATCCAGTGTAAATAATTCTGGGTCATTCAAAGTGGCAGCACATAGGAAAAAAAAAGTCCTTTCATTTTTATAAATAATAATTTTCTCAAGCATGCACTTGAATTTAAATTATCTTCAAGTGCTTGTATGCATCTCATGAAATCCCAGCAAGCATCATAGGAGATGATGACAGAAATTTCACTTGCATGTGGGGTTGGAAGCTTTCTCTTTGTTTACTAAAAGTGGTTTCCCAGGATTTTTGTCACTAAGGGATCCCCCTCAGATCAGATCTAGCTTTGTGCAGCATGGTGATAAGGGTTAACGCAAAGGACACCACCAGCCCAGCGCACCTGGTGCTAAATATCAGAGTGGTTGGTAGCACAGAGTAGTAAAACATCAACTAATGGTCAAATTGCATTTTTCTCCTGACATTTCACCTCATTGGTCGAGCTTTCCTCTGCTGGAATAACACTGACTGCAGTGAAAATTCCCACATGCGGAGCTGATGGGATAGATGGAGAGGGTGGGAGGGCAGGCATCAGCTCTAGAGTCCCTGAAATGCAAAGCAGACACTTCTTCTGCCTGTATGTGTTTGTGACGTGTGTTTGTCAGGAGAAAAGAGTAGATTTACTGTAGAATGAGAACAGCTAAGGGCTGTCAGCACTGACACATCCAACAGAGCTCTCAGAAGAGAAACATACACCTACCTGTTACACCAGGGTATTGATTTTTTTTCTCTTTCAAATGTTTTATTCCTGGATTGGTGAAAGATAAACTAGTTGGATAGTCAGTCCTTTTACTCAGTATCTTTTCTTTTGACGTCTGCTTTTTAAACTGAGTCCTAGGTTGTCAGTTAGGAGGGGCAGTAAAGATTAAAAATCACAGCAGAGAGTAAAAATTGAGTAAAATGAATAGCATTACTCAATGGCATACAGATACTGCAAGGTGGAATGGCATGACACATTTTTTAAATAGTTTACCTCATTGATTCAATCAAGAATTGTTTTTACAACCAGCTACAGCCTTCAGCATTTGTACAAACACAGATGGGTACTTGTAGAATACTATACAAAATAAGTAGAACTGGGTAGTTTGTGCTTCCCTAAATAGCTCTGTGCGCTAGACGGAGCAGTGCTGCCGGCTGGACCCTTAGGGACCTCAGCAGAGAGGCTGAAGATTACCTAGCCTGGCAGACTGAGTTTAGTTATCCTTTTAACACCCTTAGGCAGACAGCTGAGGAGCACACTAGTTTAGACATCATTTGCCACAGTGACTGACCCAGCATCTCTCATGAGAACACAGTCCATTCACAGATATTCAGCTTCAAGATGTAATCAACAAGCTTATAATAAATAATCGAATATTAAAGTGTACAAGAGGCCAGCTATATTATTAGTGGGATGCTTATACCTAGGAGGTGTACGTTTTCTTACCCTTTTAATCTATCAGTGACATGAGATAATATTTAAAATATAATAATATAACAACATTCACGTGAGGTACACAGTAAAGTGTGTCACAGCAAGTACGTGACACGTGACAAGAAATACGTGCGATTCGAGTCTAGCTTTGCCAGTGAAGCTGGCGAATATTTTCAGTGGACCGCACAGCAAGAGTGAGAACGTGGAGTCCAGAAACGATGTAAATGAACATCACCAATGGACTAGCTGTGAAAATGTACATGTTTGGACACGAAGGCCCTTAACAACACAAGGCAGGAGCACAAATAGGATGTGACTGTCTCCACTACTCTGAAGAGGATTTGTTTCCAATCTTAATATGAAAAAAAAAAAAAAAGAGCACGCTTTAAGCCTAGCACTGTATGTTCTTTGCCAAAGAGCAGTTATGGTCCCAGTGACATCTCTGACAGCAGGGCAGCTTAATTTACCATCCCTGTATAGATCAACTTGAAGCCCAGCCATAAAAATACCACAGCATACGTCATTTGCTGCAGTTCATTTAAAATTGCATATTCATAGTCTGGTAATTCAGCATTTACTGTTTTTCCATCAGGAGCAACATGAGTGACTAAAAAAGTAATTTTTCACTTGATCAATTAAGTAAACAGGAGTTTTTGCAATGTTCCTGGGAAGTAGTGCGATGAATCGTTTCTCAAAGCTTTCACCTGCCTCGTTGCACTCAGTGGAAGTGTTAAATGTTACTTTACTTGGGAATAAGATACAATTTTTTAAAATCAGATAAACACCACCCCTTCCCCCAAAACAAAGCCTTTAGATGTTGCATAATCATGTGTGGACTGTACAATGGTGTGAATGTGGTTTGTTTATTGTCATTCAGGCTCTGAACTCTCCATTTAAGACCAGAGTGCTAAAACTGCACAAATTGCACTCCTAGGCAAGTAGCTGGAGTTGGTGTGTTCTGGGGCAGAAATGCTTTTGTACCCAGTGTCCCTGAACGTCCCCCAAGGCCATCACAGCCAAACTGGAAGGAAACAGAAAGCACAGAAACAGGCTAAGCCTTTCCGTAGCACTGTTAGGACTGGGCTGCTCCAGACTGAAGTCACTTTTGTCTGCAGGTGGGCATTGGCTGCTTTAGGGCCTTAGTAGCTGGCTGGCATTCAGATATTTAGCTGGAACTGCATCTCGCCCCAGAAGTCTGCACTGGGCAGCACACCCAGTCCAAGGCCTCACAGGGAATGAAGTGCTTCAGTGAATAAAAGACTGACTGCCGTCGGGAGGTTGTTAATGGCTAATATTTTTAGAGCGAATTCTCAGTTAACCTCTACCTAGAAACTAAGGGACAGGTCTCAGTTTACAACACAATTGGAACAAAGGGATATAATAGCCTTGTGCTTTAGCAACTTTCAACCAAGGCTTACAGAAAGCCCATCACCCATTTGACAGGGGTGTAATGAGCGTTTTTGTAGTGCTGAACATGAGGTCCATACGCTAAGTGATTTGTCCAGCTAACTCACAGAAGAAACAAATCCAAAGCAACATGCATAATGCTATTACTAACTCACACTACACTCACGGATAAAGCAGCATTTGCATGTATTGAAGTTTAGCAACACACTGAAATTTTGTCTGGTTGAGATTTTGTCTTACTGGTTAATAAATTGATAATTGTATAATGCTTTGACCACTTAAATTAATAGATGTGTTTAGAAACCATAACAGATTATCTTCCTGCATGTTTTATGCCATTCCTACCTTTTTGTGACTACATTTTGTATCATGACCTTACAACATTGTTGTATGCAGAGAGACTGCCCAGCAATTGCATCTCCAAGCAAAAATCAAAATTGCACATCAGTGAAGTACGTTAGAAATTTTGGCTTCTCACTTGTATTTAGATAAATTAATAAACACATATTACATCTTTATATCCACAAAAAAGCCATGGGCCTCTTAGGTTGAGGTCGTGCAAACAGAAATACCAGTGTTCTGGACATGTAGTTCTATGAAGACTGAACATTAAAAGCCAGCTTCTACTCCATGATACTGGCTTCTGGTCCTGCAGGAGAACCCATGTCAGTCTGTCAGACCCAGGAGCTGCGAAGGGAAGCTTAATCCATCCTTATACCTGACATCCTGAAGGATCCTGAAAAGAGACAGCCTAGACAGACGGACAAGGAGCAGCAAAATTAGCACATTCCAGAAATAAAAGTACTTCTTTTGATGGACCATTTCTGCTTATTCTTACAGGTGCAATGATGCTGTAAGATGCAAGCTGTGTATTTATAACCATGAGACACACTGCCATGAGCTTTGGATTTTTCCAAGCTGTCAAGTCTTTTCCGGCCTTCAAAGTAGGTTTTAGGCCCCCATGTGGTCTTAGGGCCTGACACAAAGTTTTACCTATCCCAGGTTTGGTTTTCTGTGTTCAATTTAGCCTGGAGAAGAGAAAGCTTAAAGGAATCTTATCAATGTATATAAATGTCTGATGGGAGGGAGTAAAGAAGAGGGAGGCTTTTCCTAGTGGTACCCACTGACAGGATAAGAGGCAGTGGGCACAAACTGAAATACATTAAATGCCACTTCCAAATAAGAAAACATGTTTTTATTACTAAGCACTGGCACAGATAGCCCAGAGAGGCTGTGGAGTCTCCATCCTTGGAGATTTTCAAAACCAAGCTGGATGCAGCCCTGAATAACCTGCTCCAGTGGACCCTATTTGGACTGGCCAACTCCAGAAGTGCTGTCCAGCCTCAATGATTCTGTGACTATAGCCCAGGATCCATACCAAGGGAGTTGCTCGGTGATGCTTAGCAGGTCTGTGAGAGATCAGGAGAAAAGGCTGGGGTAAAGGGGGGAGTACATGCAAAAGGATACCAATGGATCGGCTTGTGCTGGCCAGATACCTGAGGGACAAAAGTGAACAACAGACCAACAAGAAGGAGAAAGGAGGTGGGGCCATGGCTGATCTAGAACCAAAGTTGATTTATGAATCCAACTGTCTACCTCATGACCTAAAGAGCTGGAAAGGCCAATTTAAGCTGCTGAGCCACAACTTCTCCCTCCTCCTCCCCTTTCTCCTCCATCTCTGCTCTGGCTGTTGCAATTGCCCTTGAGGATGTTAAGACCAATCTTCCTTTCCAATCCCTGTTTGTGTAGACATAGAAATACACAAAATATAAGGAACATTAATTCCATACTCAAGAGTCTCTCTATGCCTCACTCACTGTGGATTGTGACATTTAGATTTTTAATTTGGATTTTAATCCTTTTATAAAAAATAAACAAACTCCCTCTCAAAAAAACCCAGAGCACTGAACTTCCTTGCTGTAGCAAAGCTATCCAGTGATTAGAGCAAAGACTCAGTCCACAAATGGATTAAACAGAAAAAGGCTAAATTTGCAAGTTGATAGTTGCAACAAGTAATTCGTAACAAGTCTAAATGGCATCGTAAGTCTGAGATCGTAAGACTTTCTAAGAGGGACCAATTACTCAGACCTATTTATATGCTGGCAGCAAGTGGTTATCTCAGAAATCATCAATGCAGAAAAGGGCCGAGTACATTTCAAAGCCAGACCTCCCCTAAATAACAGATTTCATTTTTGAACGTCACACTTGGAAAATTTCCCTTTGGTGTACACTAGATGTCAGGGTTGGACTGAGAGGATGAGCCCATCC